TTCACAAATTAAAAGAAGAGAAGAACGGAGCAAATTTAAATAAATTCTCAACTTTGGCATGCACATTTACTGAGAATTGATTAAAGAATAAAGAATTGGTTTTGATTTGTTTTCCTTATGCAAGTCAAAGTGCGGAGAAGCAGGCAAGGTCCTTAAACTACCAAAACGAGTACTTGCCCAATATCTCCCAGTACAGACCTCAAACTTGTTCAATAACATTTAGAGTAAGAAGTAAGAAGTTCACTCACTCACCTTCTCCCCATGGTGTAGAAGTGATACAAACAAAGTCAACGACAGTGTCTGTGCACAGAACTCTTACAGAGCGACTTCCCTGCATCACTGTCAGACCTTTCTTCTTGCTGCTACATGTTCCGCCCGAAAACAAAATGATTGGGTCCCTAAAATTGAGTAAATTGATTACTATAAATACAGTTGAACCAGTAGAACCTATCATTATTCTAGACACCATCACCAGAAAGAAAAACAGAATAAAAAATAAACGATATGATCACCAACTCTACACAAAACTACATCCTGCATGACAGTTTAAGCAAAAACAAAAATTCTGAAAGTGTTCAAGTGCTTGGACTCGGGCAATCATTGCTTCATAATGAGTGAAATATCCATCACCTTTAACTTTAACTCCGATTTTAGAAACAAATATTGAGAAACCTTATACATGTACCATTCCTGGGTGGCAGTTTAATGTGATAATAAAACCATCTCTTAATAGAGACTTCAAGATTAATTGAAATTCATCAAGTGACCTGACTTCAGTTGAAATAAAGCACATACCCCGAGCTAACTGCTAGCCACTGCACCTTGAAAATGGGTTGACAAGGTCTTCCTTTGTCAGATTTACCTGAAGAACATTTTAATGGTTTAATCGATCATTATTTACTGTCAAAACAGCACAAGTTATGCTAGCTGTAAGCTATCCAGCTGCTTTTGCCAGGTGGGCAAGCTGAAAATTGACAGAGATTGTTGACCTTTAAGGTGTTAACCCAGTCTATG